GTCACTTATTTTGATATTCTGGGCACCGTGGTCTGACATGGCTGTCTCTCCGCGGCCCTGTGAGTTGCTGCATTGTGGCAGTGGCCAGGGAAGCAAGCTCCGTTGGCAGCAGGCTCGGAGGCTGCAGGCGTTCAGGGGGCAGCGAAGGGGTTAACGATTCTGACGTTTCCATTGCTTTGGCACTAATCCCACAGGAAAAGGGTGCCTGGGGCGGATTCTAAGGTTCCTTTTGTGCAAGGCGTAATATCTGGCCCTGTGGTCCCTGCTGCAGCATGAGGGTGCGATGGGTGCAGTTTGAGGGGGAGCCAGCGGTGCGATGGGTGCAATTTGAGGGGGAGCCAGCGCAGCACTGCCAAGCCCTGCTCCCTTTATAGCCCTGCTCCTGGTTTTGCTGCGCGCATTGTCCCTGTTGGGAAGCAGAACCAGCCTGGTGCATGCCCTGCTTCGAGCTGGGGAGATTTACACCCAAGGGAAGAGTTGGGAAGGAGCAGAGGGTGCCCTGGGACTTTCCAGCAGCCATGGGGGTTCTGGGGTGGGGAGGGGGAAGTGGTGGGGAGCAGCAGGATGGGAGAGTCCCTGAGGGGATGAACAGTGAGCACTCATGGTTGCAGCATGAAGAGTGCAGAGAGCAGTGAGAAACAGGAAAGCGATAAATGGGGGGGAGAGGGAAAGTATAATAATTAGTAGAAATGAGTAGTTTTGGACTGTTGAAAATTGACAAGGAAAGCCAAAAAAAAAAAAAAAAAATCATGGGGGGGAATATCAATTTTGACAGGCAGGAAACAATGAGGAACACTTAAAAAAAAAAAAGTGCTAAGAGGAGGCAGTACCAGAAATCGTCATTTGCAAATTGTTAATTATGCAGAAAAATGCAAAAGTACTCAGTAAGTAGCTCTGGCAATTTGGGTTGAGAGCAAGGCAGGATGTGGCACCTGCCAATGAGCTGGTAGGTGACAAAGGTGTTCGAAATACAGTCTCTGCAACAACACTATTTGGAATAGCGCAATTCTGAATAACACTATCTGGAATGATGCCCTGAGCCAGTGCAGCAGCAAGGGGCATGCTGTGGGCTGGGAGCCCACTGAGGGGACCACAAGTGATGGCAGCCAACGTGGTGACAGGAGGTGGTCAGGCAGTGTCACCAACACAAGTCTGTCCTGGCCACCGCCAGGACCCACAGAGTCTATTTGACAATGTGTGGCTGATGGAGCCTTGTTGAAGATGCCAAGTTGATCATCCCTTCTGTTGTTATCATTATTATTTCAAATTAACACTCTTCATTGTACGTGGGGCACTGTTGGCTAGGTGACGATCTGATTTTGTACCAGCATAGAGAAGAAAGGCTGGAAAGTCCCGGTGGAAGGGGGTCTTCTGGAGGAGCTTTTGGCAGCGTGTCCACACCCGCTGCCATTCAGTGCCTCAATCAGCGAGCTGGAAGTAAATATAAAATCAACGCTGATAAAATGTACGTCTGACACAGAGCTCAGTGGAGTGGGAGATTGCAATGAGGACAGAGCAGTCATGCAGAGCGATCCAGATTGCTTGGTAAAGCGGGCCTGCGGAAACAAAGCGCGTCTTAACACAAAGCTGTGTGGTGAGAAGTAGGGGATGCCCATGTGTGTCCTGCAGAGCATTGCAGTGCAGGAGGAGCTCAGCTGGGCACTCACACTGCTCTGAACCAGGGGTGTGTGTAACCCTGGGGTGAAGGAGCTGTGAGGTGATAGCAGGAACGGAGTATTGAGATGCATCCGACCTTACAGGGATAGAAAGGAAAAAATGGGGTGAGCAAAGAGGAGGGCCATGAAATGAAGTGGCTGGCTCAAAACCCAGCTTGTGGTTGAGGCTTGAGGAAGCCAGCTTGTATAACAGCAGGAGAAGTTTGAGGGGTGCCTCGGTTGCACTGCACAAGCAGCTTCTTGTACCGGGAACGCTGCTGCTGAAAGGCGCATTGACCTCACAGAGAGAGGTCAGACAAAACCCAATTTCTGCAAGCCAGAGCCAGACAAACGGAGCCAGTGTCTTGCCGTGCTGAGTCCAGAACAGGGCTGTGCGGGTGGGGAGCCTCAGCCAGACACAAGCTGCTATTATCTCATCCCAGCGTGGTGGGGACTGTGCAGGGCTGAGGGTCTCTGAGCCCAAAGTGCTGTGTGCATGAGGGAGCAGGGCTGGGAGTGCTGGATTTGCCCCTCTACCAGGTGAATGTGGCACCTGATGGAGGTGTTCTGTAGGAAAAGATGCTGTTGGGGAGCAGATGTTTGGAGAGGGAGGATAGCTGCCATAGGCTGGGTCCAGAGCTGGAGCTAAGCTCTGTGACTCTCAGAGTTGCTCCTGCATGGCACATTCCCCTTTTAAGGATTTCTTGCACTTTGCCAAACCTACCTATCTATTTCTTCTGCTCTGGGAACCTCCATCTTCCTCACTGCAAGTGGAGGCAATTCCATCCTGCTAAATGGTGTGAAGAAGCAGCCCGCTGCTCTCTCTTTGAAGAAAGCATTTGCAGAAGGGATGGTTCAGTCTGGAGAAGAGGAGGCTAGGAGGAGATATTATCACTCCCTGCAGCTCCCTGAAGGGAGGTTGTGGCAAGGTGGAGATTCGCCTCTTCTCCCAGGTGACAGCAATAGGATGAGAGGTGATGTACTTAAGTTGTGCCCAGGGAGGTTCAGGTTGGATATTAGGAACAATTTATTCTCAGAAAGAGTGGTAATGCATTGGCACAGGCTGCCCAGGGAGGTGGCGGAGTCAGTGTTCCTGGAGGTGTTCAGGAAATGTGTAGATGTGGCATATGGCTAGTGGGCACGGTGGGGATGGGTTGATGGTTGGACAATGACCTTGGAGATCTATAAGCTTTATACCTTCAACCTTCTCCTCCCCAGACCTCTATCCTCAGTCTTTCCCTGCTTATCAGGACAATTCCCTATTCCTCTCTGCCTCACTGGGGCTTTTAGTGAGAGCTATTGGTGATAGGTGGACGGTTGGACTGGATGATATTGTAGGTCTTTTCCAATCTTGTTGATTCTATGATTCTATGAATGTGATGTTCCAGACTGAACATGGCACTTCTACAATCCTTCTGAAGGCCTACTGGCACCAAGCACAGTGTGACTTCAAGACAAATATCCTGCTTATGCATCCCAATATAGATGCGTTTTTGTGAGACTTTGACACTGCTGATAGATAGCCAACCCATGATCTGCTGCAGCCCCCAATCCCTCAGCCAGCTTGCTGCTTTCATGGTGATTATTTTTCCCAAGTGTGCAAATGTGACAGATATATTCCACATTTGTCATCCGAGCCGTTAATGAAAATACAGGCTAGCAATGGACATGGGACAAAACCCAGAGAATTTCATTTGATACATCGTCCCGCCTGTAAGACTTGTCTTCAGTAATTACTTTCTGAATATGACTTTCTAAAGGCTTTGCATCCACCCCGCAGTGAGATGCACCATATTACCAAAGCAGAGAAGTACTACGCTGCACCTACAACATTTCCCTGCATTCCTTATGAGAATATCATCTAAAATAGTGTCAGAAAAGTTCCGAAAGCCAAGATGTAACGTTTACTGCTCCTCCTCCATCCACAAGGCCTGATGTCTTTTCAAAGGGAGAAGTTCAATGCCTTGACATGTTTGTTTGTGACAAACCTACCGTGGCTGTTACTCATTTCCTTGTTATCTTGTAGGTACTTACAAAGAGTTCTTTTATCTGTTTCGGTATTTTTCCAGGAACTGAAATTAAGCTAACTGTTTTATAATTCTCCAGATCTTCTTTTTTCTCATCTTTAAAGACAGGCGCTATTTTAGCTCTCTTCCACTTTTCTGGAGCTTCCCTCAACCTGTAAAAATTCTTAAGAAAAAAAAAAAAAAAAAAAAAAAGCAGGAAAAAAAAAAAGACAGAAGCCCTAACAGCTCTGAAGTTCCTTAAATCAGGTCTCTAAGCACCTGGGGTGAATTTAATCAGGTCCAACCAACCTAAAAGCAGCAAGCTCATTTAAATGCTCCCTGTGTGTTCCTTCCCCTGGTTAGGCTTGATTCCTTCCCTGTCCTCCTTGGTGCTGGCTGTGTGGGATGTCTGATTGCCACTCCATCTTGGTAAATACTGCAGTGAAAGTAGAATTTAGCCTGAATGGTGCTGTCTTTCAGTGTGTTGGCTCTTTGCCTCCCCATCATTTCCCAGTCCCATTGAGCAGCTCCTTGCGATGTTGATTTTGTGTGTCATTCTCTCTTGGTGTTTGTGTTCTCATCATCCTGGTTTTGCCCTGTGAACTTGCCTTACCCTTTCCACTCCTCACTAATCATGACAAAGAGGGATTTTTTGGAAGGATTTGGAGGAGGCTGATGATGCAGCTTAATGACTCTTTGCAACAGCTCCTCGATAACATGAGGGAGAGCAAGCGTGAAGTAGGGCTTGGCAGTGTTTAACGAGCACACAGAAGGAGCGATCGTGACCTGTGATGGAGCATCTCTTACAATGAAAGATGATGAGCTGGAAGCTGTAAGGTGGGGATGATGTCATCCCTGGCTTTGTGCTGAGCCTTGATCCCATTAGAAAGGCTTTCAGTGGAAATGGGTCTCCAAGAGCACTAAGGGGGCATGCAAAGTGGAGGGCAAGGAGACCGCAAGAAGGCTGGGGTGGAGGCCAGCCCATAATTCAGGACATGGTGCTTATGGGGGCCTTTCAGAGCCTGTAGGCTGAGAACTGTGGCACTGAGGGACATGGTTTAGTGGTATGGCGGTGATGAGTTGACGGCTGGATTGGATGATCTTAGTGTTCTTTTCCAACCTTAGTGATTCTGTGATTCTGTGATATACGAACTGTGTGTCCTCCTCGGTGGCAAAGGAGGCAGGGGCCAGAGGAGATGATGGGCATAGGGACTGCAGGGTCCCTTGAGCAGTGTTCGCTGCTGACCCTCTGCCTTCACTGTAGGGTCAATTCTGATGCCCCCTGCTTTGTGTCAACCACCCAGCAAATGAAAACCTCTTCTCTTCTCTCCTCCCACAGTTACCTCATCGCCGAGTGACATTCTCTGCAGCCAGCCAGGCCCAGGACCTACAGGACCCCTCCCAGCACAGCTACTATGACAGCGGGCTTGAGGAGTCGGAGACTCCCAGCAGCAAATCATCATCGGGGCCCCGCATTGGGCCACTGGCTCTGCCCGAGGACCACTATGAGCGTACCACGCCTGATGGCAGCATTGGAGAGATGGAGCACCCTGAGAATGGTAGGTGCTGACAGCACCCGTGTCTCTGCCCACCCCGGGGACCCTGCACCCAGGGCTCTTTAGACTCTGTGCCTTGGTCAGATAGGCTCCCACGTGCAGCTTGGCAGGGCTGGGAGGCTAAAAGCGAAGGAGCAACAAAGGCATGGTGGGGTGGGGAGAGGTGAGGGGATGCCAGGAGGTGGAAGGACCAGGAGGCAGTTCTAACAGCATGATAGGGGGCCCAAAAGACTGTTCTGAGGATGCAGCATGAACATAAGCACACAGAGGGGCTGCCCATGCTGAGTCTGTGGACAGAAGGTCCTGTGGTGCCTACCCCAAGGCAGAGGGCAGGGGTATTGGGTTGTGCTCATCTCCATGCTGTGCTCTTGGAGATGTGAAGCTTCCCTGGGGAGCAGAGAAGAGGTTTAGCAGCACAGGGAATGCATGGGGCGGAGGACCCAGGAGCAGGGTAATGGTAACTTTGAGGTCTCCAGCAGGGCCTTTCAGGTCACCTCTCGCTTGGGTCCATCCCACAGAGCCCTACCAGAGGCATCTGCCATTCCACCACAGCAAAGCTGGCTTTCCCCTGCCCTGGCACAACTTCACCCCTAGTTGTTGTCCCCATGCTGCCTCCGTGCTGCCTGCTGACTGCCTCAAAGTAGTCCCCGCCCCAAGCTAGCTTCTCTGGCCGGCTTCAGTTGCTTCTTCAGCCTTGGCTCTGGCTGTGCACATAACACCAATTTTCCTCTACCCGCTGTCTTCTATGCTCTTGTACTTAGGGGGAGCTTGCTGGGGGGCTGGCAAGCTGAAAGGAATCTCTTGGAGTAGAGAAAGGTAGTGCTAAGAGTTCTCCTGAAATCTGCTGCTTCTGGGAGAATCCTTGACTTTGGGACAGAGTTGAGAGTGTTCAGAAAATCTCGTAGCTGAAACATACTGGGTTCCCCTCTTACAGCACAGAGGGGGCCCAGGGCAACTTGGGGGCCTGAAAGTCTAGCAGTACATCTTCCCCTTCTTCCCAGGTTAGTTCCTGGGATAATGTTGCGCCCAACAAAGCAATGCAAGTTTCTGCCGGGTCTGGCTGGGATCCCAAATCCATTGGATGCTCTGGCAATATGAGACACCCTCCCGCCTGAGGGGGTCATGCAGTCAGCTTTTTTCCCAAAAGCACAAGCCAGACAACTTGGAAAAGCAGTATGGAAAGGTTTCTGGTGCAGGATGACTGCAGTTGACTTGTCAAGAGCCCTCAAGTACCAGCCAGGTGCATGCAGAATGCACAAAGGTCTTGTGTGAAGGGAGCTGCACGTGGCTGTGCTGCTGGGTACAGCAGAGTGCTGGTTTCCTGGATGACATGCTTGATTCCTGGATGACATGCTTGATCACATGAGGAAAGGGCGTGTGATCCATGACAGCCAGCACGGCTTCACCAG